ATAGCTGATCACAGCCACTCAGCGGCAGCGCCTGCTGTTTAATTAAACACCTTTACCTCTCAGGGCAATTTTGTCAGATTAATCATCTTACAGGAAAATTAATTTTATGCTCACTAAAGGCCCCGGAACAATTCTGTGTGGATTAAGCTTACGTTCTGCCCAATTACTCCATCTTCAATCTGAGACCCACTGAACTGTGCCACTTCCTAAAATAAAAGGACTTCAGAAATCTGATTTCTGTCTCAGTGTTAATTACTGACACTGTCAGCGTTGACACCACCAGCCAGGACCTGGAGTGCTGTGACCCACACAGCCCTGTCCTGAGCATCGCAGGGTCGGGTGGAAGCAGGACCCGGTGAGGCCAGTGCTGCGATGCCTGTGCCTGTGACAAGGGGAGAAACTGAGGCACAGAATGATGACTGCACAGAACCACAGCTCCAAAGCTGAGAGCGGGGGTTTGGACCTGACCAACACAGACCTCAGCAGGAGGGCGACCGTGGCCAATGCACTGGAGGGAAAGTCGCTCTTCCAGTAGGAGCGAAAGCCCGACTCTCGGGCGTGGGCCTTTGGAAGTGTCCGCCGAGAACTTTAATTCTGTAAACTACCAGGTGTCAGGAGCCAGAGGGCAGACACGGTCCAGTAGGGTGAGTGAGGTCGCCTTGCTCAGCCCCTTGGCCCAGCTGTAACCATCCATCCCTGCCGTCCCGGGCCAGGGCTGCCTCTGGAGCCTAGGCTTGGGAATCTCAACTCCAGGGTCCCCGAAGCCAGCAAGGAGCCCCGAGAGCCTCCGCCCCACCGCCCCGCGAGCAGCAGTTTGGACTCGGCCTACTGTGGGCTCTGGACTCCTCTCGGCAGCGCTCCCTGAGCCTTGGCACCCTGGGAGTCACCAGGCGCAGACACAGGCAGCAGGCAGTGCTGATTCCCAGGCCAAGGGAGCGCTGGAGGGGAGTGGAGCCCGGGCTGGGCGCACAGTGGGCCAAGAAGCAGCACATCCGTGGTCCCCTCTGACCCCAGGTGACAGCAACAGTAGCCACCCCCTTCCCCAGGGCCAACCTCCCACCACCCAATGCTTCGGACCTGTACCCACCAACCTCACCCTCATCCTATGAACAGGGCACCATGCCCCCAGTACCCATGGGGAAGCTGAGGCAGCCCGGGGCCAAGGGCCATGCCTGAGGTCCTGCAGTCTCTGCTGTTAGAGCCACTGCACCCCACACCTCCATCCTCAGGGCCTGGAGGTCTCTGCATGGGGCAGGCCCTTGGGGACAGAAGGGGACCCAGAGACACTGGAGAGAAGGAACCTCATCCCCAGGCACCCAGTCTTCAGAGAGGTCCTGCTCCAGCAGCCTCAGCGGGTAGGCTTGGGTGTCAGACTGTCCAGCGGGGACATCTTTCTGATTTTGTTCTTGTGCAGCAAGGTCTCCCTATGTCATCCAGGCTGGTCTAGAACTCACAGCGATCCTCCTGCCTCAGCCCCCCAGCCACCACACCCAGCTGCCATTGTCCCCAGCAGCGTGGACACACACCCATTCACCATCCTCGGGTGCAGCACTGCTCAGGGCTGAAATGGGCTTTGCTCATTGGCCCCCTATGTTAGTTATTTTTCTCTCACTGCTGAGACAAAATACCCGACACCCATAGATAGAAGGGAAGGGGTTTATTTGGTTTACAGTTCGTAGGGTTTCAGTCCATAATCGGCTGGCTCCAGGGCAGGGGTGACAAACAGGATTCACAGAGGAGAACAACATGGTGCACACAAGGCAGCAAAGGCAACAAGAGAGTTTAGCAGCGTCTCTCTGCCCCTTCTGTCTTATTCAGACTACCGTGGGTTAAGGGTGGTGCCAAACCAATCACTCACGAGTAGTGGATCAGTAACCACACACCCTTAACTCAGCATCACACACTCCAGATTCAGCCACCTCTGAAAAAGTCTCACCTCACCCGCATGAGGCTTTGCGGCACAGCTAAACACAAACCACAGCATCCCACCTAGTGCAGCACCCAGGGCCAGGCCAGTGCCAACCCCACTGATGGACAGGAAAGCTGAGCTCCCTGGCCCTCCTCCCCAGCAGGGGCTCTGACCATCCCACCACACGGCCTCTCCCTGGCCCGCCCGAGGCAGTCCCCGGCCCCTGCTCTTCAGGGTGAGGGTCTCGGGCGGCTCGCTCTGCACCCTGATCTCGGTGCTGAGGGCTCCTTGGGCCCAAGTGAAGAGCCCAGGCCGCTGCCCTGTGCTTGGCCGAGGCACGCAGGGAATGACCCCCCGCCCCCAGCCAGGCCCCACCGGCCCCGAGATGCTGCTGACGGCATCGCAGGTGATCAGGAGGCGGGTGAGCACGGCCAGCAGAGGGGAAGGCTCGGCTGGTCCCCAAAGGGTCCCCCACCCCACAGGACGAAAACCAAGTCCCTAATGTGGAGGAAAGGAAGCTGCTCAGGGCACCAGGGCAGAGAGACTGAGGCACCAACAACCAGGCAGTTTCAGCTCCTCGAAAACGCTGATAAGAAAGGGGAGCGAGGAACAGGGAGCAGGAGTGGGCCTGGGGTGGCTGTTCGGAGTGAGGACAGGATGAGAGGAACGTGGGGCTGGCTGTGCTGAGACAGAGGGCCCAGCATGTGCAAAGGGCCTGGGGCCGGCCTGGGCCCAGACAGTGCCTTTCCCGAAGAGTGCTCATGTTAGGACAGAAAAGCCAGGCCTCAGCTCCTCTAGCATATAAAAGAAAGGAATCACAGGGCCCCCACCCTGGAAATCCGTGAGCGGAGGGCAGGGTGAGCACAGCGAGTCCCCAGCCTTCCTAGGGCTCAGCGACACCAGCCTCCAGCTGCAGGCCTTCGGGAAGACAGTGGCTCCTCACCTCAGCTCCTCTGTGGCCGGATTCACCTCTGGCCCGAAACTTCACAGCCACAGCAAATCCGCGCAAACTTGTTGGGTAGAAGCCTCCTGGGTCTCAGAGCCGCAGCATTGAGTGCAAGTTAATTGGTGTGAGGTTCCACGCCACACCCTACACTAGTCCTGGGCCATGCGTGGGGACCGTGCGGGTAGCAAGGCCAGGGTAACCCTGAGACCTGGCCCGGCCTGGCAACCCCCAAACCCCAGAGCGGTGTCCCCACCCAGGCCCCTGGGAAGGCAGGGCGGGCCCCGGGGGGTCAGGGGCACAATGCCCCCATGGGCAGCCTGGGCTCCAGGGAGTGGTGTCATCCAGACCGGAAGTGGGCCCAGCCCTGCCGCCCCAGGCTGTGGGATCGCCCCCACCCCCACACGCGCCTGGGACCCACTCTCTCTTCTCCAGCGCAGGCGCATGGGACAGGGGCGCCGTTCAAGTGGGCAGCATGTGCTCATGGTGACCAGTACAGGATCTGGGCATCCACAGCAGGTTTCAGGACTGACCCCAAGTGCACCTGCTCCTGCTGGAGCAAAGTCAGCCAGCACAGACTGGCGCCACGTGTCAAAGCCAAGGCTGGGCTGGAACTTGCAACCCTCCTGCCTCAGCCTCTGAGGGCTGACATCACAGGGTGCACCCCGACACCTGGCTTAGACTCCATGGTAAATAGCAGACAGATGAACCGAGGGGTAGGGGGTCGAGAGAAAAGAAGAACCTGTCTCACACCCTGTACCGCAGAAAAGTGCACAGACTGCTGGGTAACCAGCGCTGCTCACCAAATGCTTCAGAAATGCTTCCTGACTCAGAAACTACACTTTTGTAAGAAGTGTATTTGAAGGGTAATAATGGGCCCCACTGAGTGGTCTTTTAGAATTACACACAGAACATAGTCACTGTTCTAAGACAGGGCAATTGTAAGTACACAAAAAACTATGAATATCTTCTGAGAACACACTGGTCAAACAAGATCCAAGCTATAAACACCAGCCTCATCCCTGGCAATTTGGTAGGATAGGTTGGTGAGTGGCTTGAATGTTTCATAAATTATTTCTTGCACTTTTAAGGAATGTCTACAGTGAATGTATATTACTCTATGAATCAAGTAAAACCCACCTGGGGCTGGGAATTTAGCTCAGTGGTTTTGCAGCCTGCTGCACAAGTGCAAGGACCCGCGTTTGATCCCTGGTACCAAAAACAAAACAAAAAACCCACCTAAATTACTTTTTTTTTTGGTACCAGGGATCAAACTCGAGTCCTTGCGCTTGCGCAGCAGGCGGAGAAACCACTGAGCTAAATCCCCACCCCTTAAATTACTTTTTAAAAGAGAGGGAACGTGAACCGTCATCATTGCAGCATGAGGCGAGTGTCAGCACTCAGTGCAGATTTGGGGTACAATGTGACATGCATCCATTTATTCCTCCTTGGTGACAGCATCCCTCTGTGCAGTCAGACCAGGCCCTCCTGTCTGCTGCCTTGGGCCCAGGTCCTCAGCACCCAGCCACAGGTGGGCCAAGGGGTATGGCTATTTCTATGCCTCACTTTCACGCTCTCCCATTGGCCAGGATGAGTCACATGGTCCATCCAGGTCCAAGGGCTGCTGGGAAATGTGGTCCTCAGCTGAGAAACAGCATCACAGCACCACCACGCTAGGGGGGCCAGGCCTGCACTGAGCAGCTATCTGTCCCGTCCATGGAGCCAGGCAGGCAGTGAGGAGATCCCAACACAGAGACCCCCACACCTGGGTGACCCAGGAGCTCACCTGGGGACTTGAGACTGTGACATCCCACATCCAGCAGCCAGCACAGCAGGGCCCAGGGCTGGCCCCCCTTCCCAGGGAGGACACAGGAATTGGGGGCCACCACACCCTGGCTCCCGCAGCAGAGGATGGGGAGAAGCCACTCATATCTGTCCCCCATCCTAGGCTCAGGAGGGCAAACAGGGACAGCACTGTGGGACTCACAGGCTGCCGAAGGTCCGTGGGACCTGAGAGAAACTGCCTGTGAAGACCCGCCAGGCAGGCGTGGGCGCCGCCTCTGTGACTTCACAGCCCAGTAGGGACCCTAGTGTTGCATCGGCTCTCCTGGCACCAGGACTGAGGGGCCCAGTGGGTCAGGAGTCCAAAGTCCGGGTCATCTCATGCAGGTGGTCCTTGGGGCCCCTCTGTCCCTCCCCATGCCCTGTCTCCAACAGCCAGCAACCAAATCCTTGCCTAACATCCTCCCAGCAGGGCTGAGTTCCCCCGGAGCTGCAGGTTAGGGCCTTAAATCAACTACTATGGGCCTATGGGCCGCAGCCGAGCCTCCCTGTGTGACTAGGCCACCACTCCGTTAGACACGAGCATCAATTGCCGGACACGTTGCTGCATTCATCTGCGACCTCAGCGGGGAACCCCCACGCAGCTCTGCATGACCCGCAGCCGCTATGCCTCTATGTCCCGAGGGCACGTCCTGTCTCACCATCCACAGCCCCGCATGGAAACATCTGAAAATCCTGCTTGCAGCTATGAGTGCCGGCCCCACCCCCTGCCGGGAACCCCGGGGGCCCTCCAGAGACCCCTCCCTCTCGGCCTATTCGGGGGACAGCACAGGGTCTCAAGGGGACTTTGCTCTCAAGGCAAACAACTACTTCTCCAATTTAAATGAGACCTGTGCACTAGAAGAAAATGATTGGTAATACATGTAAGCCTGCAGACGTTGGAGGGAATATCAAAGAGATTTCAAGCAGCACTTTCTTGAACAAAAATTTATACAGCCATGCTATTTTAATTCTTTAGAAATCTTGCTTTGTAAATGTCATGGGAGGGTGCAGGGCTGCAAAGAGAGCTGAGGCACAAGCATTTCCGGCAGGAGAGTGACCGGCATGGAGCCTCCCGGCTTCTCATTAGCCTCGGGTTCCACTCAGGTTTCTCGCAGTGCCTTTCAGAGGGAGCGCGGGTGCCCCGCAGCCCGCAGAGCTCCAAGTCTCAGTCCTGCTCTGCAGGGCAGCAGGGGTCTAAATGTCACACCACGCACTGTGCCACTGTTGGGGCCCGGCGTGTGCGGGGCAGACGGGTTTCAGTCTGCTGCTGGGCTGTTGCAGCCCGGGCCCTGGGTTCGATCCTTTGGACCCCAAAATGATAACAGCAATAATAACTGTCAGCGTGAAGGGCAGACAGAAGCCACGGTAATCATGAGGATGCTGCCGACACAGGGGTCTGAGCCCAAGCCCCTGCCCTCCCAGCTTGGCCAAGCACTGTCCCTGCGACCTGGCAGAGGATCTCTCTCTGAGCCGCCTGAGGCCAGGCTCCTGGTCCACCGTCAGATGGGCAGCAGGCAGAGGAGCAGCTCAGCACCAGCTGGTCCGGCTGGCCGGCCACCCCCCACCGGAGCCCAACATGTCATCACCCTGCCCCAGAGTGGGGTCCCCAGGCCACAGAAAGGCTCAGCAGAGGACCCAGAAAAACCCCGACAGAGTCGGAAATAAACAGCTCTGAGCTGAGTGCTTGTCTTTGCAAAGAACCAGCCCTTTGCCAGCCTTGTAGGTATAGGATTCTGCACACTTGCTTTGGTGGATCTCACATGAGGGACTGTGTGCAGGATTTAAATGTGTGCAGGGCCCTCGTCCCAGCCGTAGTCTTCAAGAGAAAGAACACAGATCCGGGCCTTGCCAAGACTCTGTGACAACTGTGGGAAAGCTTCGACTACAGACGGTGTGTCAGGAATTCAATACAGTTTATTTTATGAAATTTAAAACAGGAGCCAGGTATGGTGGCATGCACCTATAATCTCAGCTACTCTGGAGGCTGAAGCAGGAGGATTGCAAATTTGAGGCCAGCCTGGGCAATTTAACGAGACACTTTCTCAAAAACAAATTAAAAAAAGATCTGGCTGCAGCTCAGTGGTGGCGCACTGGCCCAGCACGTGTGAGGCCCAAGTTCAAGGCCCGGTACAGGGGAAGGGGTGCTGGTCCTCTTGTTTTGTAATTTAGTCATTATTTCCTGCTTTTCCCTTTAATCACTCCTCTGTCTCTGCTTTATTTTGTGGGCATTCTACTTGCCAATGTTGAATGTTTGGATTAATATGTGTTTAATACTTTCTGTAAGAGAACCTAAAGCTATATATTTTACTGAGCGTAGCTTTCCCCAAATCTTAGGTATTGGCACACAGCAGGAGTCAGGACTCGATGGCAGCCGCCATCTGCTCCTGTAAATGAAGTTTTATGGGCTCGTGGCCACACCCGCTCATTTGCATATTACCCACAGCTGCTGTGGGCACCACAGTGAAGTTCAATGGTTGCCACAGAAACCAGAGAGCTTGAGAAGCTGATCACATTCACCAGAGTTCCTTTGCAGGGAAGGGGCTGCTGGCCCTTAGTACATAACAGGGTCCTGTTGTTCTCGATCTCCTAATAACTCAATGGTTTTGGTAAGACTGCACTCAGATGTGCCCCAATGCCCGAGGCTCACATGGAGGGGTCTCTATTGACATCTCAGAGGGTCGTTTTGGTTCCTGCATCCACTTCCTTGGGGGTCCCCCAACCTCATCACACCAGTAGTGCCCAGAGGGGCCCTGTAGAAGGGAACATGGTCCTGGAGGGAAGGGCAGGGGTGGCTCCCCTCCAGGGAAGCAAGCACCCAGGACACCACCTCCCTTCTGACAGGACCTGCCCTGGCAAGGGGGACCTGCAGGGGACCACTCGAGGAGGTGGAGTCTTCAGGGACCCTCAGGTGCCAGGGTTTAGAGTTCTGCCTGCCCCTTACTTCCCAGCACCAGGTGAGGACCATCCCCTGTGTCTCCTTCTTATGACAAGGGCTTTATGTCCAAGGGCTGCTGTACAAAGGTCCACAGGACAGGGGCTCTGACCACAGAAATTCATTTCTTGGTTCTGGAGGTTGGCGATCAAGATGGCAGCACAGTGGCTTCCTTCTGAGGGCAGTGATGTTTGGCTTGGGAGACACCGAGGAGATCAGAAAGCACACTTCTGGGCGTGTCTGTGGCCCCAGGAGCATGACCTTGGGGATTAGATCTGGCCATCCTCTCTGGCTCTGTTCCTCTCTCTGCTTCTGGCCACCATGAGGAGCAGCTCTCCTCCCCCACACCCCTCCACCAGGAAGCCTCTGCCGTGGAGCAGCTGGCCTTGGGCTGAAACACCTGGAACCTTTCCTCCCTCGGGTCCTGTGTCAGGGATTTTGTCCCAGGAGGGAAAGCTGACTCACATCACACAGCCCTCGAGGGGGACTCTGCCTCCAGCCTCTCCCCGACATCGGCTTCCCTCTTCAGTCCCCTGGGTGGCAGCTGACTCCCCCATGACCATGTCTGTCTGACTCTGGGTCCAGATTTCCCCTCTGTATAAGGACACTGGTCACATGGATCAGGGCACCCTAGTGACCTCGCCTTAACATTTGCAAAACCTGTCACCCAATGAGGCCACTTCACAGGCAAGAACTCCAGTATCTTTCCGGGGTGGCAAATTCAGCTCATAACACCCAGAAGATAAGAAGTGACCCCCATGCACACACCACAGGCACTCGGCCCAGAGCAGGCCCAGTGAGGACAGAGATCATCCAAATACAGACGAGGCAGGTGTGGAGTGCTGCTCTTTCCCCTCGTGCACGTTCCCCATACACAGTGACCAACAGGGAATTTGTACCCATGCACAATATGCCTTAATTCTTCTTTTCCCATTCCCTTCCCCTCCATTCAACCCTTCTTCGCCTCCCCATTTTCAAAAGCTTTGTTTCCATTTTTCCTTTTCCTTCTCTTTTTTAATTCCTTTTCCCTTCCTTCCCTTTCCCCTCCCCATTTGAACACATCCTTCCTACTTCCCATATCCGTCCTCCATTTTGCTCCTTATTTACCCTTTGGGTTTCTCACACAAGAGAAACAATGTGATATTTAAATTTGTATGTCCAGTTTATTTCACTTAAATTTTGGTCTCAAGATGCAACCATTTACCTAAAGATGTCTCAAGTTACCCTTATGGCAGAGTGACACTCTTGTACATAAATAGCACATTTTACTATCTAGAATCTATAAAGAACTCAAAAAAATCAACACTCCCCAAATGTAAAGATCCAATAAAAAAAAAGGCACCTAAAATGAATAGACATTTCTCAGATGAAGAAGTACAAACAGCAAATAAATATATGAAAAATGTTCAACCCCACTGGTCATTCAAGAGATGCAAATTAAAACAACACTGAGAGTCCATCTCACTCCAGACAGAATGATCAGCAGCAGCAGCAAATCAGCCAATAACAAATGCTGGCGGGGCTGTAGGTAAAAAGGAACCCTGCTCCACTGCTGGTGGGAGTGCAGACTGCTGCAAGCACCGTGGAAATCAGTACAGATATTTCTCAAAAATGAAAACCAGAAGTTCCGTTTGACCCAGCTGTTGCCCTCTAGGTGTCTTCCTAAGGGAGTTAAAAGCATCTTACCACAGTGATCCATGCTCAGCCACGTTTACAGCAGCATGGTTTGTAATAGCCACATCCTGGAAACAGCCCAAGTGCCCATCAACAGATGACTGGATGAAGAAAATGTGGTATTTATGTAAAATGGAGTGGGCATTCTTATACCTGCCCTGCTGTGTTCCAGGACTGAAGACAGGAGAGAGCTCATAGCTGAGCAAGGCCGAAGGCACCCAGGAGGCTGGAGAGGGCTTCGGAGGGGACTCAATCACACCTCGCTTTATGACACCCACAGTCCTAATGCTGCCCCTGCTACCGCCCTTAGCTGGCCTCCTCCACTCTGATTTCTAACCTCTTGTGTTACTTGGAGGCAGCAAGGCAGTGTGTTGTTTTTGAAACATCTGCTCTGGTGTCGCCTTTTCCTTGCTTTTAGAGCTGCCTATGCTGAGAAAGCTAACATCCGAGGAGGCACAGCTGGACGCGAGACACGCCACACTGCGCAGGGCGTTTGGGACGGAGAGTTTATTTAGCCATACCACGATGAGTCCCGAGGCGCCAGATTGTTTCCTACCTTCCCTCCACTACACTGTTCCTCCTCCTGGGACCGAGACAGGCCACGCTGATGGAGAGCACGTGTCCGAGCTCAGGCGGAGCTGGGCGGTCTGGTAAGGTCAGCACTGGCCGAGGTGGGCGGGCAGAGCAGGGCCGCTGAGTCGGAGGCCTCGCCCAGTTCCTAGGGGCCGCCTGAGTGGGGAGCTGTCCCGGCTCCTGGTGCTGAAACCACCCTGTCCCGGCCTGACTTCTGGACATAAGGACACTCGTTTTATTCTCTCCATTTGTGCCTTTGCCATCGATGCGAATGCTCTGAGTTTGGAGAAAATGTAGCCATTTGAGCCAGGAAAAGGCAGTCACTAGGCAACATTCTGAAAACAGGAGACCAGTGGGATCACGTTTCACCGAGTAAATTGACGAAAGGTCAAAAAGCTTGATCTTGGCCACGATGTGCCTGGTCTGAAAGCTAAACTGCCGCTGAGATATTTATGGGAGAACCTGCAGCCGCAGCCCGCGGTCGCCCGAGGTCCCCGGGGAAGCAGGCCCAAGGCCCCTTATGAGAAGTGCCCGGCTCCTCCCCTTCCGGGCGAGGCTCTGGCAGGGAGAGGTGCACTCGGCCCAGGGAGGGTCCACACATGGTGGGTGGCCTCTCAGCCCTGTGTGTGTCTCCTGCCACCCCACGTGGCCCAGCCTCACCCTGCACCCCCAGCAGTGTGCTGCGAGGCCTGGGGAGCCCCGGCTGGCCCACAGAATCCCCCACGAGCCACGTGTCCAGCCTCACACTGTCCAGGGGCCACCTCATGGAGGTCAAAAGTGACAGAATTAATTTAACTGGATGTATCTGAATGATCAGCACTGCAATGAGACCGACATAAAACAATCAGCGCTTTTGACCTGCTCTTCAGAAAGCAGTGCACATGGAACAACCATGCTTCTGGGCAGTGGGGCTGGGAGGGGGGATGGACGGCACTGACAGAGCAGGAGACCCCAGCCTCGGCTGCCGGGAGGCGAACACAGCCCCCAGCTTTGCTTCCGCCCTCAACCTCATGGTGACCTCACACTCAGGGACAAGGTGACCGACATGCGGCCAATGGAGCCCAGGGGTGGAGCTTCCTGGGATGAGGAGCCCATGTACTGGGCACAGAGGGAGACGGGAGCCCTGGGGCGGGCATACACGGGGCGCAGTGGTGAGTCCCGCGGCTCTGGACCGGAAGGCGACCCAGACTCCGCGGCTCCACCCCCAGGCCGACACAGGAAGTGGCCAGGCTCTCACCCAGCATGTCCACCAGTCCGCAGGAGGGCCAGCCCCGCGCGCTCCGCTGTCCCACAGCTGGAGAGGCCCCACTCACCTGCATCTCTGACCAGCACCAAGGCTGAGGTGCCAAGTGCAAGGGCGAATCCACGCATGACTCAACAGCACAGCCCGTGGGCTCCTCCCGAGGTCAAGGGGAGACTTGCACTCAGGTTCCCTGGCCACCGCTCCCTGGCAGCCTCCACTGTGGGGAGCCACGCGGACCTTGGACCTCTGCAGTCCCCTCTCGGCACGAGCCAGCCTCATGTCCTCTCCACAAGGACTCGGGCTTCCTTGGGACGGATCCACCACTCCCAGCTCAGCCTGGTGGTCTCAGCGCCCTGGGCACGGGGTGAGCCCGGTCCAGTCCTTGGCATTGGTTGTCCCCTCCTCAGCCACAGGACAGTCATGGGGCTGGGCAGGAGAGCCAAGCTTCTAACCTCAGTCCTGACCCCAGCTCCAGAAGGGGCCGTGACAGAGGCGCCAGGGGTCCCAGGGACCTGCGGTAGGAGGGCGCTCCCGCTGAGGCAGGCAGAAATCATGGCTCTGCCTCTGGCCATGACCGACCCCCGAGGCCTGGCCGCCATGGGACCCCTAGAGAAACTAGAGAAACTGCCACCACCCATCACCGATGACCAAACCCACAGCCCTGTAACACTGGCAGGCTCAGAGTGGGACTTAGGATGACACTAGCACAGTGACACACGGCCAACTCTCAGCACCATGGCCAGAAAGTGCCCATGATGCACCAGCAGTTTGGGTTGGACCTTTTGGTCAATAGCAATGGACAGGGTTGTCCCCCACAAAGGAGCTGTCATTCGTGAGGTCAGGTGAAGGAAATGGGTAAAAACCTCAGCCCTGCGCCGGGCACAGAAACCCTGTGTGAACGCCATAGCTGGGCCCTCTCCTCGGCCTCCTCCTCGTAGCTCAGGATGCCGCTCAAGCCCCTACAGACGGGCCGTCCAGCCCTGGGGAGCGGCCAGCCCGGAGCAGCTCCCCTCCACCAGCGTGAGGGCACACGGGCCTGCCCGGGCTCCCCGCCATCCGGGCATGAGATCTGAATGCTGCTGAGTGGGAGAGCCCTGCAGAGTACTTCAGCATCTGACATGCAGGCCGACCAATCCACAGCCCGGTGGGAAGAGCGCCCAGGAATTATTAAACCAAGCCCAGTGCTCCAGAGGGAAACCAAGCCAGGCACAGCCAGTTGAGTTCCAGGCTCTGGGAGAAAAGGGAACGGGAGCGGGCTGCAGGGGCTCACCAAGGGCAAGAGGGTGGCAGAGGCAGGTGCTGGGGTTGCGGAGGGCCTGTCACCCCCTCTCCCTGGGACAGGGCTGTCCCCAGGCCCCATGTGACAGTGTGAGCAGCAGCAGCAGCTGGTGACAACCCCAGGCCTCTGACCGGGGGAAGCCAAGCCTTGACTTCGCCGGGAGCCCACAGACCTGGTCTTTACTCTGGAGCCGCATCGTCCCCGGGTACAGAGCAGGCAGGACCTCAACCAAGGCATGGAAGACTCTGCAGAAGGGGAGCGCCAGACACCTAAAGGGAAATTCATCTAGAAAAGACATAAAGGTGCTCAGGACAGGGAAGGGCTGTAACCGTGCCTAAAATAAGAGAAATGCAAATTAAAACTACACTGACATGTGCTCCAACTGGCAGAAACCGGGTGTGCTGGGCACGAGCTTCCTGCAGGGCTGGCCAGCAACGGCACACTGGTGTCTCGTTCCCCACCCAGCACCATCACCGCCCTGGAGGGGCCCCACCGAGACACCGAGACACCGTCTGTCAGGTACGAAAATGCAAGCGCACGCGGCCGTGCCGAGCACCGGCAGCCAGATCCCAGTGCGCGCCCGGCACCTCCCAGGCGAGCACTCCGGACAAGGGCTAAGGTCTTCCGGGAGAGATCCTGGGCTAGGGGGCTCCTTTCATCTCCTCTGTAATCGACCCCCCAAATCGGGACCAGCACGCCGTTTGAAATTTGTGCACAACATGGGTGACTAAATTGAGCTAATTAACTTGTGCTCTACCACATACATCTTTCATCTTTTCATGGAGAGAACGCCTAAAATCCCCCTCAGCAGCTTTCGAGAAGATAACGTATCGCTGGCTGCAGTTACCACATTGCAGTCAATCTCCTGGGCTGCTTCCTCCTGTCTAGCCAAACGGGATGTACGGTTAGAAACAGGGTACACAGAGATATTCAGCACAAGCTATGTTGGTGGAAGAGAGTTAAGGGAAAGTGAGGAAGTGCACACCCGTGTGCTCATTTGTGCAAAAGGACCCGGGACAGCTGGGCTGGGAAAAGAGGCTCCGGGTTCGCTCCAGGAAGCAGAGGAGTGGGGGGAGAGTGGCAGGGCGGAAGTGGGAGGGCACCAGTCACACTGCACTGGGACACGCGCCGGGATCCGGACATCTGCTGTGGTCCCACACGCGTGTCTCAAGTTGGATTCGCTGTGAAATCACCTCAGGAGTTGGCAGCTTACGGCCCTTGGCCTTTACTGTCTCCTGGTGTCTGAGGGCCCGAGTCCCAAGAGCTCACAGCCTTCCTGCAGATCTGCTGAGATCACTGTCCCCAGGGCCACGGCCTTTAGCACGAGCAAGAGGAAGCCGCAGACCACGACAGAAACCAGAAAACTGCAGAGCATTTCCTCCCCAGAGGGCAGGTCACAGACCCACCCAGCACCACGTGGAAGGGGACGCAGGGGACACAGACGCGAGCACCAGGAGCAGGAGCCTGGGGTCCTCTGGGGGCAGAACTTGGACAGAAAAAGGGACCCAAATGGAGCACAGCCGGAAGCAGACAGGTGGGCGGACCCTTCAGTGAACACCCAAGCAGGAGGCAGTGAGCGGGCTACTATACGGCTTCTGATTGTTTGAGACAGGGGCTCAACTGTGTAGTCCTCAAGCTCATGACGACCCTCCTGCCTCAGCCTCCTGGGTGCTCTGATTACAGGTGTGGCTGCCATGCCTGGCCCAACTGCACCGGGGCTGGTGAGTCCAGTTCTGAGCTGTGTGCCCAAGGCTAAGGAGAAATCACCTGCGGACAAGGGCAGAGGGTTCTCCCAGGACGGGGCAGCCGGATCCACAGACGGGGTGACCGCGGTGCAGGGAGGAGTCAGGCATGCAGGGCAGCAGCGGCTACAGCGGGCCTGCGCGTCCCCGGAGGGGCCAGATCTGCAGGGGCTGGACACGGAAGTGGACGGAAACACGAGGTGCCCTGCATGGCCCCGCCCAGCGAGTCCTGGCAGCAGGGACCCTTGGTGCTGAAAGCACCCTGCACCCAGAGCTTGGCTCCTGCGGTGATCGCCTCCCAGGGCACAAGGGCGCTGAGCAGGAGCAGGGACCAAACCCCCACCCAGCAGGCAGCGGCGGCTCTCGGGGTCCAGGACTCCGTGGGCTCAGAAATGAGACCGAAGGCCACGCAGCGGGCAGGGTGAGGGCCCCGCTGGCCTGGAGACCGCGGCACGGAGATGACAAAGGCCGCCAGTAAAGGAGAGTGACGGTGGCACGCAGCTGCAACTGAAACGCCCACGGACCCGTGGAGGAGCCGGCGGCACAGCGCCATCCAGAGCCCGGCGAGGTGTGGAGTCACGTGGGCCCCTCACCACGCAGTGCCTGCACACAGCACCCCAGCGAGCACCCAGCCCCTCTGCGAGGGCCCCAGCTCCTGACAGGACCCGACACACCGCGGGGGTCTGAGGAGATTCCCACAGATGGAGCCCGAACAACACGCCTGGGCCAGGCCTGACTCTCAGGCTGCGGCTCACGACGTCGACCAACGCGAGGCCCGGCGGGCTATCCCGGGAGCAGAGTGGGGGTCAGGCCCGCAGGGTCGGGACAACTTGGCGAGGTGTCCTTGGTGCCCCAGGCCCTCCAGGACCCGAGCAGGACCCCGCACGCCTGGAGAGCTGGGCTGGGCCTGGGAGGGGACAGCTGCCCAGCGCCGGAGCCAGAACTCGGGCCCGAATGGCAGAGCCCAATCCAGGGTCGGAACCGCTCGGAACAGGCGCAGGCGGGAGTAACACGCAGAAGCAGGGAAGGGTGCCAGAGCCTCTGGTTCAGTTTCCAAGAAAACTGTCAGGAATCTGGGCTCTGCTGGGGCATTTCTGAGCTTTGGGTTTTTAACACTGAGTTAGTTCCAAAAGGAAAACAACTTACTGCAGCCTCACCAGGCTCCCACTGTGACCCCCATGCACCACATTCTTCCCTGCAGGCCTTTTCTGGGACGTAGGGGCTGGTGCTGCTGTCAGGAAAGCGAAGGGCAGGCTTCGGCCCCAGAGGGACAGCAGCGCTGTCTCCGACCTCAGAGGAGTACCGGGCCCAGGCTGAAGGGCTGGGGCCCAGGACCGGCTCCTGTCCACGGGGGCCAGTGTGGCTGCCTGGGGCCTGTCCCCTCCCCTCCCCTGTCCCCGAAGCCACCGAGCAGCCACAGCCCACCTGGGAAAGCCCTGAGCTGTTACCAGCACCCCAAAGCGGACGGCAGGGGTCTGGGGCCACACTGGAGGGCGTGGGACCCTGAGTGGGAGTCCCTGTCCCCTGCCTCTGGGGACGTTTGTCCACGTGGGTGTGGGTGTCAGGATGCCATGAGGACAAGACCTTCCAGCCACCGCCCCACCCACAGAGGGTCAGTGACCGAGCCCCCCGGATGTACCCAGGCGTGACCCTCGGACGAGGAGTAGATAAAAGGCCCCTGCACCCCAACAGGTCCCTTTTGGGGTCCTCCACTCAGAGCTCGTGCAACCCGAGCTGGTACCAGTCAACTCCGTGCGGCACCCGTGCACCTGGGCACCACCGCCGCCCCACCAGGGCCCAGAGCTCAGCCCGGCCCCACCCGACTCCTCCACGACCTCGCTGTGTGCTTGGGGTCTGCAAAGACACCTTTAGTTTTTCTTAACTTACCCTCGCACTCACACTGATAACCCAGTCCCAGCAACTCCTCCCGGAGAGTGGAAGGCAGTGTGAGTTCATCGCCCGCCTTCGAAATGAAGACTTGGGGACCTGTCACCAGCGCTCCAAGCAGAAACATTTGGTAGGGACAGGGCTCCCGGTCCAAACACCCTCCCGCGCCCTGCAGCCAGGGATGTGCTCACTGTGGGCCCAGCCTCCTGCACGCCATCCTCCCCCGCCAGCGGGAGGCAGGGGCCTGGACAGAGCTGTGAATGACGACTCCAGATGAGATCCCTGCCTGCTGTGGAGGGAAGGAGCCAGCTGCAGCTCCAGGAGTTCCCTGCAGCGACAGCAACCTAACCCGAGCCTCCCAGAGTCCAGAG